GCTAGGTTGGCAGAAGCTGGGACATAGCAACGGGAGCTCACTCTTTTCAAACCACCCAAGTTGGTAGCCATTACTGACTCTTGTTTTAACTCTGCTGTGTGAAGAAGGACTTTTTTTTCTCTTTCCCAAATCTTCAGCTCTTTTGGGTTTCCTTGGTTGCAAGAGACCAGGGAACTGGCTGAATTTCAGAGGTATCCGAAAGAGCCTTTCGTATATAATTTTATTAAGTTTTCTGCTTTCCAACTGAAAACACTCATTTTGCACCCTTAAGACATCAATGACTTCCCTTCTTCTCTTTCCATGGTTCATTTCGCATATCGTAAATCCCTGCATATTTTGCAAAAAACAGACCGTTCATTATTCCATCAAAACTTGTTTACACTGCTGAATTTATCTTAACACTGCCCGCGTTTTCAGCTCTACGCAACTCTTTCCCATATAGCCAATAAACATTTTCAAATCTTCTCTAAGCCTATGTTCTTCTTGTTCTCTTATTCTATATGTTATGCCTGCAAATTGTGCATATTCTGTCAACTCAAGTTGCCGTTATTCTTTGGTTGGGACCTCGCTCGTTTTCCATTTTGGGGCTAACAAAGCACAGGCCACAGTAAAGGTAAAGGGACCCCTGACTGTTAGGTCCAGTCGTGGCCGACTCTGGGGTTGCGGCACTCATCTCACTTTATTGGCCGAGGGAGCCGGTGTCTAGCTTCCGGGTCATGTGGCCAGCAGAACTAAGCCACTTCTGGCGAACCAGAGCAACGCACGGAAACGCCGTTTACCTTCCCGCCGGAGCAGTACCTATTTATCTACTTGCACTTTGACGTGCTTTCGGACTGCTAGGTTGGCAGGAGCAGGGACCGAGCAACGGGAGCTCACCCCGTTGTCACGGGGATTCGAACCGCCGACCTTCTGATCGGCAAGTCCTAGGCTCTGTGGTTTAACCCACAGCGCCACCTGCATCCCCATGGGCCGCAGTAGTGGCATGCAATTTCTCACGTCTTTTGAGTCAGCTGCAGCAAAAGCTCCTCTCACTGTGAACACAGACCTCTGTCCCCCCCTCCCCATGAAGTTCATCCATCTAGAGGCGCCCAGCATTTGTGCGGCAAATATCAGTGCAGTATTGATTCTCTTCCTCTCTGCAAAGGCAGAGAGAGATAAAGCGTGTGTGTGTTTTGAAGGAATGTTGCTTTGCAACGCCATCGGAAAAGCATTTGTCAGTGGCGAAGAAGTTGAGAAGCGAGTGTTTATAGCCTTCAGACCGTTTCCCCTGGGTCTCAGGCCGGTCATTTTGTAGCAGACGCTGGCATCTAGGCTTAATGTCTGTTGGTGTGAGGTGGAAAATCTGGAGTCCGGTGGGAAATTGAGCCTTTTAAGCTCACAGGAGATGATTCTTCAGCGGGAAGAGCGAGAGCTAAAAGAGTCAGCTGTGGGGATGCCAGGAGCGAAATCAGATTTTCACGCGTTTCCTTCCTTGCACACCTGGAAAAGGAAACTCTCACTGGTATGATGAGCAGAGAGAGAATTCTGCTTGTGCATGTAAGGTTTGTTATGCGGCAGCGAAGGGAGCAATGGTCCCCAGTGAAATCTGCACCCAGAGAGATGCAGGACAGAAGAAGAGAACGCCATTGTTCGCTCAACGCCTAGTTAAACTGTGGAACTCTCTCCAGCAGAACTAAGGTAAAGGTAAAGGGACCCCTGACCATTAGGTCCAGTCGCGAACGACTCTGGGGTAGCGGCGCTCATCTCGCTTTATTGGCCGAGGGAGCCGGCGTACAGCTTCCGGGTCATGTGGCCAGCAGGACTCTGGCGAACCAGAGCAGTGCACGGAAACGCCGTTTACCTTCCCGCCGGCCAATAAAGCGAGATGGGCGCCGCAACACCAGAGTCGTCCACGACTGGACCTAACGGTCAGGAGTACCTTTACATTTACCTAACACTTACAACTCCCGAATGGACTGCTTACAGACGTAGACTCTGCTAGGATAAATACGACAATATTTGGATTGGTTTTATACAAAAATGTAGTAGGCTATTAATACTTCTATTAGGATTAAGATAATGATATCAAATTTATAAAATAATGTAAGGGTTAGGGTAATAACAACAGCAATTTGTTATTTATACCCCACCTATCTGGCTGGGTTTCCCCAGCCACTCTGGGCAGTTCCCAAGAAAAGATTAAAAATACGTTATTATTTTTTGTATATATTTCATATAATATTTTTCCCCCTTTACACAGTTGTGTGTCTTTTTTGTCTGTTTTCTTTCCCCTTTTTCTTTGTGCATCACTTTATACTGTATAATTGAAAATGTTTCAATAACATATCAATAATAAAAAAAGAGGACAGGGTGGTGGTAAATAAAAATGAAGAAGGAATCCGTGTTCGGTGGAAGGTGAGCGCTCCAGCCTCGCCCTAATTGATTTCACAGGGGCAAATTTGCAAATCAACTTTCAATGCATAGAAATCTATTTGCATATTGACAGCCGCAGCAGCAGCAGCAACAACCTAAAGCTAGCTTTGGTTATCTTGCGTGGAAGTTTACAAATAGGGAGAGAAAGAAACGAGGAGTGGCAAAGCAACAGAAAGTGTCTGTTTATAAAAGAATAAAACAAATGACTAGGGTATTTTTGCCCGGTGTGCTTCACAAAACCAGCAGGTCGCCTTGAAAAAAAAGTGAGATGTTGCAGCTCATACTGATGAAAATGCAGACTTTCGAAACATCTGTAGCTCTGTATCCCCTGCCTCTTCTGCCTCTTAAGTCAAGAACTCCCTCCTGTAGCTTTATAGACATCTGGCTCTCCTGCCTTTCAGGGGGTTGGACTAGATGACCCTTGGGTCCCTTCCAACTCTAAAGATTCTGTGATTTTATGAAAGTCTCTGCCCACAGAAACAGGAGCGGGGGTTTCATACAGTGGTACCTCGCAAGACGAATGCCTCGCAAGACGAAAAACTCGCAAGACGAAAGAGTTTTTCGTTTTTTGAGTTGCTTCGCAAGACGAATTTCCCTATGGGCTTGCTTTGCAAGACGAAAAACGAAAAAACCGAAAACGTCTTGCACGTTTGTTTCCTTTTTCTTAAAACCGTTAATACCCAGGGTGACTTCAAGGAGCAACTCATAGCACACGGTGTGGTAGCCTTTTTTGAGGTTTTTGAAGACTTTGGTGATTTTGAAGTCTTTGGGAAACCGTGCTTCGCAAGACGAAAAAACTCGCAGAACGAATTAATTTCGTCTTGCGAGGCACCACTGTACAGTGGTACCTCGGGTTACAGATGCTTCAGGTTACAGACACTTCAGTTTACAGACTCTGCTAACCCAGAAATAGTGCTTCAGGTTAAGAACTTTGCTTCAGTATGAGAACAGAAATCGTGGTCCGGCGACGCGGCAGCAGCAGGAGGCCCCATTAGCTAAAGTGGTGCTTCAGGTTGAGAACAGTTTCAGGTTAAGAACAGACCTTCAGAATGAATTAAGTTCTTAACCCAAGGTACCACTGTAATTGTAGAATTGGAAGAGACCCCAAGGATCATCTTGTCTGTGTCACAAAATGATGCACGCCCAAAAAGTGTGTCGCCAACATGGAAAGTTTGGATAGGTAAAGGTAAAGGGACCCCTGACCGTTAGGTCCAGTCGCAGACAACTCCGGGGTTGCAGTGCTCATCTCGCTCTATAAGCTGAGGGAGCCAGCGTTTGTCCGCAGACAGCTTCCGGGTCATGTGGCCAGCATGACTAAGCTGCTTCTGGCAAGCCAGAACAGCACATGGAAACACCATTTACCTTCCCGCTGGAGTGGTACCTATTTATCTACTTGCACTTTGACGTGCTTTCGAACTGCTAAGTTGGCAGGAGCAGGGACCGAGCAACGGGAGCTCACCCCGTCGCGGGGATTCGAACCACCGACCTTCCGATCGGTAAGCCCAAGAGGCTCATTGGTTTAGACCACAGCTATCATATTATAAACCCACCGATTAAGGAAGATCATGTCAGGCTTCAGGGAAACGGCTTCCTCCCTCCTTTGGCAGCAGATAAGCAGAACAAAGGAAAATGAGTCTATTTACCAGTTAGAAACTTTAATAATCACACAGAGAGAGAAAAAAACACATTTCCTAGTAATGGCGGTGCTCCCGATTAAGGATTCCACCACTTTTGGCCCCTAGGAACCTACATCACTTCTGCGTCTCGTAATCTGAGCTTGTCCCCTCTGTGCTTTCTGTTCTGCCACTTTGAGCCCTTCTCAACTTTGGGGAGGGCGGTGGAGGAATGCTGTCTAGAGACGGTGAATCTGCCAACCTTCTCCCTCCCAGTGTTTCTTCTCCTAGCTCAAGCATAGGCAAACTCAGCCCTCCAGATGTTTCAGGACTACAACTCCCATCATCCCTAGCTAACAGGACCAGGGGTCAGGGATGATGGGAGTTGTAGTCCCGAAACATCTGGAGGGCCGAGTTCACCTATGCCTGTCCTAGCTGTTCCCCATCCAGCATTTCCCAGCTTCTGCCTTCTGAACTATGCCCCTCGGCAAACCTCTCTTCCAAATCTATACAGCGGTACCTCGGTTTAGGAACTTAATCCGTTCCAGAAGTCTGTTCTTAAACTGAAACCATTCTTAAACCGAGGTGTGCTTTCCCTAATGAGGCCTCCCGCCGCTGTTCGGATTCCATTCTTAGACCAAGGTAAAGTTCGCAAACCGGGACACGGCTTCCAGTTTTGTGGAGTTCGTAAACCTAATAGTTCGTAAACAGAGCTGTCCTTAAACCGAGGTACCACTGCACTGTCCTCCTGCTCCTGGGAAGATTCAGGATCCGTATCAGGAGCAAGAGAGAGGCTCCCACCATTCCTCATCAGTGCAGTCCTCCTCAGCACGGTCCCTGACAGACCATGCCTTCGTCCTTCCCGTTCGTCAATATCAGTCTCTTAGCTACCATTAACCCTGTCTTCTTTCCGCCTATCAGGTGTCAGGACTTGCCAACTCCTCTCCTGGAAAGAGGAGCTGCTGAAGTAAGAAAATGTGGTTGCTGGAGAAAATCCGTGGCTCGGTGGAGAACGGCGGCTCCCGGGGGAACGGCGACTCTGTCGATAAGCAGTCCAAGGGTCCTCTGTACAGCAACGTCCTGACGCCAGATAAGATCCCGGATTTCTTCATCCCGCCCAAGCTCCCGATGGTGCCCCCAGAAGCAGAGGGGGCAGAAGGGAAGGCAAAGCCCAATCTGGGCACGTCGGCCTCGGAGCAGAACCTCTCGGCCCGCAAGCCGCAGCGCAGCCCGCGCTTGCCAGCAAAAGCCGCCTCTGAGAGCAAGAATCTCCTGAAGGCTGCCAGCCGCCACATCATCCAGATCGAGAGCGCCGACGAATGGGCGTCCGAGGAGGACTTCAGCACCAATGCGGACCCCCAGTCGCAGACAGCCATGTCCCTGCCGTACGTGCCCAAGGCGCAGACGTCGTACGGCTTCGCGACGCTAATGGAGAGCCCCCACACTCGCCGCAAGGAGTCCCTCTTCCACAGCGAGCACACCAGCCTGTGTCCGTCGCAGTCGACCTCTCCCAGCTCCCAGCGGAGGTCTCCTTCGGGAGGGAGCAAGACCAACGGTGAGGGCGGCCACCTCAACCCCTCGGACATCAGCATGTCCCTCATGAACCCCTACCGCTACTTCAGTGGCGGCGAAAGCGACACGTGCTCCTCGGCCGAGTCGTCCCCGTTCGGCTCCCCCTTGCTCTCGCGCTCGGTGTCGCTCCTGAAGATCTTCAGCCAGGAAAGCCAGTCCAAAGTCATCAAGCTAAAGCACTCGGTGGCGCGCAACAGCTCCCTCTCCACCGACGACAGCTCGGCTGACACCAGCCCCAGCTCGCAGCGGCGCCAGCGGTCCGCCACCCCTCCTGCAGGGGCAGCTGGCACGGCACAACAGCCGGCGGCGCCGGCGGAGCAGCAGGAGCGCCTTCACAAGGAGCACATCATCCCGTTGAGCAAAGGGGGCAGCATGAGGCTGGCGGCCGAGTACAACCCTTCGAGCGCCCGCCTTCGGGTGCGCGTCATCACGGCGGAAGACCTCTACGACAAGCACTGCGACGCGCGGAGCATCAACTGCTGCGTGGCCCTCTATCTGAACCCTGGGAAGTTGCAGAAGCAGCGCAGCACCATCATCAAGAACAGCCGCTACCCCGTCTTCAACGAAGATTTCTTCTTTGACGGGCTGGGGGCCGGCAACGCCAAGAAACTCTCCCTCAAGGTCAAGGTGCTCAACAAGGGAGGCAGCCTCAAGAGAGACACCCTGATGGGGGAGAAGGAGCTCCCCTTAACGTCTTTGCTCCCATTTTCATAAAACGACCTTGGTCATGCCTCCCGCTTGCACCCGTCCCGTCCGGAACGGCTCGTTCCTCCACCCTGTAAATACAAGGAAGTTGGAGGGGGAGGCTGACACAAGATGGTGATGGCTACTCAGTGTCCGCTCCCCCACCCAAAAAATGCTTGCTGCATGTTTTAGGGCAGGGAGGGAGGGGGGACTAAGCATGTAATCTCGCCGGCTGCTGGTGCGATCCCTTTCCTTGCAAGATCAGAAATATAATTGCCTGTCCGGGGTGGACGAGATTTTGCCCTGTGCACAGTGAAGCGTTCTGAATTTATCAAAGAGATGAGCTCATTGCAGGGAGATAAGGGGGGTGACTATACGGCTGTTGTAAGTCTAGGAAAGGATTCTCAGAACGGATTTTTGCTGTGGCATGCGGATGCATGAGCGCAATGGGCTTTTTGCTCTGCTCCCTGCTCCCTGTTGCACCCGGACCCCGTCGAAATGCATGCACCGTAGCAAACTGGTGATCCCCAATGGCCGTCAGCTGTGCTTGACTGACGTCTCAGCAAAGGTGGTCAACAGACAGGAATTAATCCAGTGGGAGACAGCGTGAACCAGGGGTCACCAACTTTATGGGATCTGTGGGTGCGTTTAGAAACCCAGAGAAATGGTTCTGTTCTGTTGGGTATGGCGGAACGCCTATATCAGGAACTAATTTTGGGTGGTGGTTAGGGGAAGAGACATTCCTGCGGGTTTCCTATGTTGCCGCAGCTGCCGTGTTGGTGACCCTCAGTGTAAATAACCCAGTTGCCTTATGGGAAAGGGGACAGGGGAAATGACCCTCGTTATCCGAACATCCTCGCCTTAACAACCTTTTGCAAACGATGGATTTGCACCTGGGAGCTGGGGGTGGCTCGTTCTTTTGCAAGGAGGTACCCTAGCAAGGATGGGACGCGGGTGGCGCTGTGGGTTAAACCACAGAGCCTAGGAATTGCCGATCAGAAGGTCGGCGGTTCGAATCCCCGCGACGACGGGGTGAGCTCCCGTTGCTCGGTCCCTGCTCCTGCCCACCTAGCAGTTCGAAAGCACCTCAAAGTGCAAGTAGATAAATAGGTACCGCTCCGGCGGGAAGGTAAATGGCATTTCTGTGCACTGCTCCAGAAGTGGCTTAGTCCTGCTGGCCACATGACCCGGAAGCTGTACGCCGGCTCCCTCAGCCAGTAAAGTGAGATGAGCGCCGCAACCCCAGAGTCGGCCACGACTGGACCTAATGGTCAGGGGTTCCTTTACCTTTACCCTAGCAAGGAGCTATGGGCAGTGGCACCCCCCCTTTCCAAAGCTGTAAAGCTGTTGTCATGAAGGCCAGCACCAGATGTTTTGTAGAATTGGGGGGTTGTTCATCTTTCTACCTTCTTTTGCCATTGGGAAAACCCAACAAGCAGAGCCGCTCCCGGCGTGATGAGTTTGTGGCTTTGCGAGGTTTGCAAAGGGCCTCTGTTACGCTGCCCAAATAGGTACCGTATTTTTCGCTCTATAAGACGCACCAGACCACAAGACGCACCTAGTTTTTGGAGGAGGAAAACAAGAAAAAAATATATTCTGAATCTCAGAAGCCAGAACAGCAAGAGGGATCGCTGCGCAGTGAAAGCAGCAATCCCTCTTGCTGTTCTGGCTTCTGGGATAGCTGCGCAGCCTGCATTCGCTCCATAAGACGCACACACATTTCCCCTTACTTTTTAGGAGGGAAAAAGTGAGTCTTATAGAGCAAAAAATACGGTAACTCCCCCTCCTTTCTCTGGAAGCAGGGAAGCCCCCTTAAATTGCCTTACACTGCTCTGGTCCATATCTGGTCCAGGGTTTTCGGTCTGAGCAGGGTCTTCCGCATCTCTCCTGATGTTTTTGTTCCTTCTAACTGGAGATAGGGATTGGAACTGGGACCTTGTACAGGCAAAAACATAGTGCTCTACTGCTAGAACCAGTGTGGTGTAGTGGTTAAGAGCGGTAGTCTCGTAATCTGGTGAACTGGGTTCACGTCTCCGCTCCTCCACATGCAGCTGCTGGGTGACCTTGGGCCAGTCACACTTCTCTGAAGTCTCTCAGCCCCACTCACCTCACAGAGTGTTTGTTGTGGGGGAGGAAGGGAAAGGAGAATGTGAGCCGCTTTGAGACTCCTTCGGGTAGTGATAAAGCGGGATATCAAATCCAAACTCCTCTTCTTCTGAGTTACAGTCCTCTTCCTTAGGAAGTAGAGATCTCAGCACCGATCCAAACCTCTCGCATGGCAGGCAAGGAGATAACCAGCGGGACCAGGATTCGAACGTGGGACATCTTGCATGCAACACATGTGCTCTGTGGCTGAGCTATGGTTCTTTTCACACTTGGGGTACCAGATTCCTATCACCCACCGTCATCCCCTCTTTCCCTTCCTCTTACCTTTTGGGAATTCTTGTGTTGGTTTTGAAGTGCTCCGTCAGGGTTTCCTTCCCCTGCACTGCCCCTTTCTCGCTTCCTCAAAACCGACACGCGCCCCCACTTTTGCACAAAAGCAAAGCACTTTTAAACGTCTCTATTTGGTGATGGCTAAGAAAGCTGGGCAAGGGACGCGGGTGGCGCTGTGGGTTAAATCACAGAGCCTAGGACTTGCCAATCAGAAGGTCAGCAGTCCGAATCCCCGCAATGACGGGGTGAGCTCCCATTGCTCGGTCCCTGCTCCTGCCAACCTAGCAGTTCGAAAGCACGTCAAAGTGCAAGTAGATAAATAGGTACCGCTCTGGCGGGAAGGCAAATGGTGTTTCCGTGTGCTGCTCTGGTTCGCCAGAAGTGGCTTAGTCCTGCTGGCCACATGACCCGGAAGCTGTACGCCGACTCCCTCGGCTAATAAAGCAAGATGAGCGCCGCAACCCCAGAGTCGGCCACGACTGGACCTAATGGTTAAAAAGGTAAAGGTACCCCTGACCATTAGGTCCAGTCATGGCCGACTCTGGGGTTGCAGTGCTCATCTCGCTCTATGGGCCGAGGGAGCCGGCGTTTGTCCGCAGAGAGCTTCCAGGTCATGTGGCCAGCGTGACTAAGCTGCTTCTGGCGAACCAGAGCAGCGCATGGAAACGCCGTTTATCTTCCCGCCATAGCGATTCCTATTTATCTACTTTGACGTGCTTTCGAACTGCTAGGTTGGCAGGAGGAGGACCGAGCAACGGGAGCTCACCCCGTCGCGGGGATTTGAACCGCCGACCTTCTGATCAGCAAGTCCTAGGCTCTGTGGTTTAACCCACAGCGCCACCCGCTTCCCTCGGACCTAATGGTTAGGGGTCCCTTTACCTTTACTTTAAGAAAGCTGGGCAGTTGTGCTGGAATCTGCAACACCCTTTGACGAACAGGTGCCGGGGCAAAACATTGCCTGGGAGTTGCCTATCGAACATTGCTGCCTTTTAATCCCCATGAGCAGAGGCTCAGTGTAGATGCTTGTTGATGGATCACAAACACACCAAAGACAGATTATGGGGAGTGTGATTGGTTTGGTCACACAGGGCACGGAGCTTCAGAGGCGCTGCAGGGAACACTGCAACTATAATAATTATTATTATTTATACACCTCCCATCTAGCTGGGTTTCCCCAGCCACTTTGGCAGCTTTCAACAGAATATTAAAAACACGATAAAATATCATACATTAAAAACTTCCCTAAACAGGGCTGCCTTCAGATGTCTTCTAAAAGTCAGATCGTTGTTTATTTCCTTGACATCTGGTGGGAGGGTGTTCCACAGGGTGGGCGCCACCACTAAGAAGGCCCTCTGCCTGGTTCCCTGTAACCTCACTTCTCGCAAGGAGGGAACCACCAGAAGGCCCTCGGAGCTGGACCTCAGTGTCCAGGCTGAACAATGGGGATGGAGATGCTTCTTCAGGTATACTGGGCCGTTTAGGGCTTTCAAGGTCAGCATTGACACTTTGAATTGTGCTCGGAAACATCCTGGGAGCCAATGTAGGTCTTTCAGGACCGCTGTTATGTGGTCTTGGTGGCCTCTCCCAGTCACCAGTCTAGCTGCCGCATTCTGGATTAGTTCTAGTTTCCGGGTCACCTTCAAAGGGAGCCCCACGGAGAGCGCATTGCAGGAGTCCAAGCAGGAGATAACCAGAGCATGCACCACTCTGGCCAGACAGTCTGTGGGCAGGTAGGGTCTCGGCCTGCGTACCAGATGGAGCTGGTAGACAGCCGCCCTGGACACAGAATTGACCTGCGCCTCCATGGACAGTTCCATCTGGTACATAGGACGAGACCCTCCCGGCCCGCAGACTGTCTGGAAGCTTTTAATGTTTGATGTGTTACGGTATTTTAATATTTTGTTGGAAGCCGCCCAGAGTGGCTGGGGAAGCCCAGCCAGATGGGCGGGGTATAAATAATAAATTATTATTATTATTCTGCAACGAGTAGTCCCATCCTCACCAGACAGGGTTACCCTTCCACAACTGCAGAGATGCACAGAGCCCTCTTGGTCTCCCACGCCCACCTACCCCACCCCCTGTCGGGTACCAAATGCTGTATACAGAACAAACAAGGCCTCCCTGGAGTGTTGCACAAAGCACAAACATCTGGGATTCTGATCAGAGCCAAGAAATCGTTCGGAGTCCTGGCCTCTCTAAGAGAGAAAACAAAGAGCCGTGCTTTTCCCACTGCCCTTTGTCGGCTGTGGAAAACCTTCTGGCAAAACGCCTCCTGCGTGTTTTGGGACGGCGAGACACGGTTATTGAGCTGTGCCTTATGATCTCCCTGCGTTTCTGCTCGAAGGGTTTTCCTTTTCTTCTAGGTTTGTAAATCCGAGTGTTGGAATTGAGCCGATGGTTTTCCGAACGCGATTAATTATACCTGCTGGGGGAACCTCCTCTCCCGTAAAATGGAGACGTCTTTCCACTCTTCCCAGAAACCCTTTTGGTCCCAGAGGCTTTGACAGTGAGGAGGAGACCCCTGGTTTTCTGGTTTAACTTCCACCCCCCCAGCTCCTCTGCTGCACCCCCCCTTCCCTCAATTCAACAAAATC